TGTAACATTTTATTACTCTTCATTTCATTAGACTGCGAATATATATTTCAAATATTTATATTTTATCAATTGAAAGGGTTATTAATTTAAACATTGGTTACAAAAGGCATAAGCACTGAGAGAGATGCACAAACATTGGTTACAGAAGGTATAAGCACTGAGAGAGATGAACAAACATTGGTTACAGAAGGTATAACCACTGAGAGAGATGCACAAACATTGGTTACAGAAGGTATAAGCACTGAGAGAGATGCACAAACATTGGTTACAGAAGGTATAAGCGCTGAGAGAGATGCACAAACATTGGTTACAGAAGGTATAACCACTGAGAGAGATGCACAAACATTGGTTACAGAAGGCATAAGCACTGAGAGAGATGCACAAACATTGGTTACAGAAGGTATAAGCACTGAGAGAGATGAACAAACATTGGTTACAGAAGGTATAACCACTGAGAGAGATGCACAAACATTGGTTACAGAAGGTATAAGCACTGAGAGAGATGCACAAACATTGGTTACAGAAGGTATAAGCGCTGAGAGAGATGCACAAACATTGGTTACAGAAGGTATAACCACTGAGAGAGATGCACAAACATTGGTTACAGAAGGCATAAGCACTGAGAGAGATGCACAAACATTGGTTACAGAAGGTATAAGCACTGAGAGAGATGAACAAACATTGGTTACAGAAGGTATAACCACTGAGAGAGATGCACAAACATTGGTTACAGAAGGTTTAACCACTGAGAGAGATGCACAAACATTGGTTACAGAAGGTATAACCACTGAGAGAGATGCACAAACATTGGTTACAGAAGGTATAACCACTGAGAGAGATGCACAAACATTGGTTACAGAAGGTATAACCACTGAGAGTGATGCACAAACATTGGTTACAGAAGGTATAACCACTGAGAGAGATGCACAAACATTGGTTACAGAAGGTATAACCACTGAGAGAGATGCACAAACATTGGTTACAGAAGGTATAACCACTGAGAGAGATGCACAAACATTGGTTACAGAAGGTATAACCACTGAGAAAGATGCACAAACATTGGTTACAGAAGGTATAACCACTGAGAAAGATGCACAAACATTGGTTACAGAAGGTATAAGCACTGAGAGAGATGAACAAACATTGGTTACAGAAGGTATAACCACTGAGAGAGATGCACAAACATTGGTTACAGAAGGCATAAGCACTGAGAGAGATGCACAAACATTGGTTACAGAAGGTATAAGCACTGAGAGAGATGAACAAACATTGGTTACAGAAGGTATAACCACTGAGAGAGATGCACAAACATTGGTTACAGAAGGTTTAACCACTGAGAGAGATGCACAAACATTGGTTACAGAAGGTATAACCACTGAGAGAGATGCACAAACATTGGTTACAGAAGGTATAACCACTGAGAGAGATGCACAAACATTGGTTACAGAAGGTATAACCACTGAGAGAGATGCACAAACATTGGTTACAGAAGGTATAACCACTGAGAGAGATGCACAAACATTGGTTACAGAAGGTATAAGCACTGAGAGAGATGAACAAACATTGGTTACAGAAGGTATAACCACTGAGAGAGATGCACAAACATTGGTTACAGAAGGCATAAGCACTGAGAGAGATGCACAAACATTGGTTACAGAAGGTATAAGCACTGAGAGAGATGAACAAACATTGGTTACAGAAGGTATAACCACTGAGAGAGATGCACAAACATTGGTTACAGAAGGCATAAGCACTGAGAGAGATGCACAAACATTGGTTACAGAAGGTATAAGCGCTGAGAGAGATGCACAAAAATTGGTTACAGAAGGTATAAGCGCTGAGAGAGATGGACAAACATTGGTTACAGAAGGTATAAGCACTGAGAGAGATGTACAAACATTGGTTACAGAAGGTATAAACACTGAGAGAGATGCACAAACATTGGTTACAGAAGGTGTAAGCACTGAGAGAGATGCACAAACATTGGTTACAGAAGGTGTAATCAGTGAGAGAGATGCACAAACATTGGTTACAGAAGGTATAATCACTGAGAGAGATTCACAAACATTGGTTACAGAAGGTATAAGCGCTGCGTGTTCTCTGCAGTAAAGTCGTTTGCTACATTACATCTTCCAAGTTTTCTCATCCAACAACTCGAGTAACCACAACACAACTCCTGTTAATATTTCTTATCAAACAATTACTTTGATGGTAATGGTAGTTCTCTTTAGCCATTAGTTTTATGTTATGAGTCATTCAGATTTATTATTATTGTACAGAATTCAGTCAGTTTATTTATGTTTATAGTTAGTGTCATTAGTAATTAGTCATAAAAGAACATTATAATGCTACTGCTGTTTTATGTTATTCTTTAACAACCCACTAACTTAGATTAGTACTTTAGAAGACTATAATAATCACGACGACAACTATTACCATAATGATTTAAAACGTACTATAATACCATTATGTATATGTATTTCGCCAAAACACTAAAAGGTGATATTTCCAATCTCTTACAAGTCTCATGCCATATTCTACCACACATTGTTAATCTCACATTTGACAAACTGAAATACAAACTCTCTGTTGAACAACTTGCTTTGTGTGCTTTAAACACGGGGATGTTTCAGACGACAGACGTAGTTGTGTAAATGTTCACAAATGGCAACAGTTACGGCGCATTCTTGGTTAAGTCGCTCTATTTCTCATCGTGTGCCACAAATCCTTACGTTTCTTGGTCTATTCTCTTGACAAAAGGTGTGGTTTTAGAGCTGAACCTACTTGTTTGTAGATTATTGTGGAGTTTAAAGTCCTGGAAAATCATCCAGGTGTTTTAAGTACTGTTGTAAATTATGCGTGCAGGTAATTGATTAAAGGCAAATTAATATTTTTGTTTTGTGTTCTTCATATTGGCTTATTAAAACTTATCCAGAGTTTTTAGTAGAATAAACGCCATAAAAGACCTAATCACATGCTTATCAACCATTAAACTTTAGGTTCCTCTCATTAACAATTTAGTTTAGATACCCTAATAAAACTGATGATAAAGAAGGCTGCTCCATTTAGAATGGCCTCTGATGGTTTAATATCCTGTTTCTACTGGATGGCTCATTGAAATGACAAGCAGTCAATGTTTTATTGAGTTTTAATTCCCCTCTAATTCACTCTATTAGCCTTCGTACGTTTTAATCCATCCATTAAGAGAACGTTTATTAATGGTAATTCTCTAGATAAACTGAGTCTTTTATGTTTAAAACTTAGCTAACAATTTTAATCCACTAAATTTGTTAAATTTGTATGCAATTTTTCTGTGGCAAAAATCTGTGTATTTTTTAATTATTGGGAAATTGTGGATTAAATACACAAATTTACAGTGAATTCTGTAAACTAAATTTAAACCAGAACAGTGTTTTAGAATTTATTTTCTTTGACTGTACAATTGGTTTAACTAATCTGCAATACGAAATAAACTATAATGGGTGATAAGCATTAATGATACTAACAAGATAAAAGATTAATTACCCTAACGTTTCCGTTTAATTAATAAATTGAGCGAAGTACTCCTAAATTATCCATATTAATTACAACTAAGTCTACAAGAAACACATAAGGAATGCGTGTTTAAAGTGTCAATGAAATAAGTGTTAACACGACAAGAAATATTATGAAACAAAATCGAATGACATCTGTAGTTCCCCTCTAAAGAGACACATTTTTTATTACTTTTTCTACTTTAACTGTCCCTTTGTACCATAAACTGAAATATTCTCGAAATAATGTTTTAAATTAGATGACAAACGTATAGTTTGAAATCCTTTTAATGAATGTACCAGTTTATACAAACAACAGGTGTACGAGTGTAGCTACATTCACTGCAGAGAACTAAGCAGTATTTGATTGCGAGTACCCCTCCTGCTGTAGCAGTCGCCTGATTCTGTTTAGTGTCTAATGCTCGCCCATGGCGGCTGTTTTCGCTAAAAGCTTAGTTGTGTATTAACCTAACAACAATATTCTTCAATACACTTTGCCGTCAGATCGCTCTGTGAGTGGCTCAAGTATTAGCACTTTCAATGATCCTTTTATCTCGGTCCAACAATTCCATTCGTTGATCCCAGCGTCCAGAGTATTACGTCATCTGTGATTATCGGTTTCGTGTTATATTTTTTTATTAGATATTAGTTATAAATTTTGGCTATTAGTTTTATAATAAAAATGTTTTGATTCTATTGATTTTTCAGTACTCCTTGTTGAATTGTTTGTTATAAGTTGTTTGTTTAAAACGCTTTCAAATATATTTTTACCTCAGAACAATCACATCTCAAAACTGTTCATTTATACACTGTTAATCTGTTTGATATGAAGAGTATAAGTTGTAGAGAATCAAGATAGAGACCACCCCTTTATTTTGTGGTAAATCTTACGACCTCAAACCTACATGTATCAATTTCTATTTTCCCATGAATTCCTGTATGGAAAATTAAATAGGAAATCTTCATTAACAGCACTTTTATAAAAATCTACTTTATTTTCTCTTTCAGTGAAAAAATATGGCTACATCAAGTCCATTTAGATGGGATGTCTACTTCACCACAAAAGGCGATTATTGAATTGTTTGTCACAATTGTGCTGAAATCCAAACCCAAAATATGATCATTGCAGTTTTGGACCATCTCAAACTTTCAGAATGGAATTTGACCTGCTTTAATATTTCATTCCTCCAGTAATTCCTGAGTATTGTTTTAATTGTCAAGCTGTTGACCTACAGTGTTCTCAGATTGACTATAGTAAATTATCGTACAATCAGTCCAAAATTATCGTACAATCAGTCCAAAATTATCGTACAAGCAGTCCAAAATTATCGTACAAGCAGTCCACAATTATCGTATTTTTGTCAAAATTATCGTATTATTATCAAAATTATCGTACACATAACAATGATGGTTGACCGTCTGACCCCTATTGTTTGTATGTTCCAGCAGGTCGAGATGTGGACGGAGACTCCCGCGGGTATCGCACGGCGGAGGAGCAAGCGCGGGAACTCACCAGGTGTATCCGTCGAGAAGTCTCCAAGTTGTCGGAGAAATGGAACGCACTCATCGAGCGATCCGACCAATGGCAGAGGAAACTGGACGATAGTTTAGCGGTAAGTGTTATAACTAACCTAATATGAGGAATGGTTTGTGTAAGGGCGTTTGTGCTTACTCTACTACGTCTGCGTGTACGCCGCAACGAGCAATGACTGTACCAACCAAACAACCAAACAAGAGTTACTTTGTACCTAACGTACAAATTCAATTTTCTGTGCTTTAAAGGTTCTAAGTGCTGTCAATCTATTACATGTAAAGGAACTGCCTCTTATAATCCAGTACTCTTCCATTCCCCTTCCAAAAGCTCAAGTGACATCATAAGTTTGTTTTTACATTGTTCTACTTTAAATAGTCAATCATTTACTGTTTTTATTGAACAAACTGCATTTGCCTCATTCTACCTACTCGTACTACAAAGGATTTTTCTTTATTTCTAAAATTTTCTCCTCTGGACATTGTATACTACTCTCCTCATTCGACCTTATCTATGTTACAATCACAGTCTATGGAGTATTGCTTCGAATTTGACAATCACTTTCTCTACAGAGGGATTGTAATTATTACCATGGCTAAATCATTGGCAAAATACCCCCCCCCCCGCAGCAAACCTGCCGATTAAGCGAATTTCCATTTGTCTGAATTGATTTTCAGTTAAATATATTTTGATAACATTAGGTTTAACGAGTACCTAGGTTTGCTGCTACAAGGAAACTAATAAAGTGTGTTTTTGAGTAAAATATTGATAGCTTAGTACAAAATATATAAATTTGCCAAGTTTGATCAAAATATATCCATAAACAAGCAAACTACAACATTTGACAACATTCTCCATAAGAATAACATAGGAATTTTAAATTTACAATTTTTTAAATTTTCTCCGTTACTAATAATCGATAAAAAATACTTTTATATACTAAATTATTTGTTTTTTTATGCTCTTTAAAAAGGTCTAAAGATAAATCGGGAAATTTTGTGTTTTGAGGGTCAAAAGTGAGAAATACCAATTTTTACCCCATAAAACCCCCCGTAAAGCCCCGTTCCCATGGTCCGATCGTGCTGGTTCGCGAACTCATTCAAGTTTATCCCGCTTTACACCTTTAAACCAAATTTCATCAAAATCGGACAAAAAATACTCAAGTTATCGCGTTCACGGACGTATATATATATAAGTCTATATATATATATATATATATATATATATATACATATATAAAAATTTTAACGTATGGTGTTTTTGGCCTCTGGGGACATCAAAATGAAAAAGTAAATCGGTCCCGGGTCTAGGTCTTACCGTGCCACCTACGGTAATAGCTACTTCCCTATAGGAAAATTCGCTAAAAGTAGAAAACATACACAAATAGTATTTTATTGTTCTAGAGCTAAAGCGTTAGATGAATACTTTTTATACGGGTTTTAAATAGTCAAATTATTGTATAGGCTACAAATCGATAATGTTTAAGTACTTAAAATGTATAAGTAAATCTTTCATAACCAGACTTTAGCAAAGTATTAGAGTAGAACCAAACCTACCGGAACCCGCAAACCACATATGAATCTTCTCAAAAAACATTACTAAAGCAATTACCGACATAAAAAACATTAAATCCGATCCGAGGAACATGCGATGACACATACAAAGACGCATTAGGCCGTAGGCAGTTGCGGATGTGGAGTATTGACTGATAAATGCAACACCGGGGACAACACACGCCAGGTGATAGATTCTCATCAGTGGAAGGAAGATGGGTAGCTCGGTGCTCAGAGTCACCAGTCTGCTTATTTCATCGTTCAAACACTCAATTTATATCCTGCCACAAACCAATTGCAGCGGACTACTTTATATGACCCTCTGGGATCCTCGGTATTACATCACACTTCACATTGGTGGAAGATTTCAACCGTAGTTGACAAGTGAGTTGTAGGAGGGGGGATTAATTAGTTTGTTGATGATGGACTGGCTTTTTTTTAATTTTGTTAAGTTGTGTTTTTATACACATATTACTCGCTGATTCTTTTGTCTCTTTGAACATAACTAGTACGTACGTGGCCAGCTTGTATGTGGCCAAGGAAACGTTTGGTGTTTACATCATTATTAAAACGTGCAAGTTTCATACACTCGTACATTTAGAGTTTCCCTCCATTTTTTATTACATAGTGTAAAGGTTAAAAAATCTACAATCTACAATTAATTTGATACTATTTACAAGTGTTCAGAGATTAATACAGGTTGGTATACAAAAACTTACGTTCACAATAGCATTCAATAGTTAAGTGGTGATACAGAACAGAATGTATCACACAAGAAGCCTGGGACAAACACATTTATTGTAGGCCTATACATCGTCTGATTATATAATCAGTATATCCGCAGTACCATCCTGATAATTATACCAATTCGTTAATTACAAGGCAATATGGATTCCACCATAAACTGTCGGTCTCTGTATGTGCTTGTATTTGTATATAATTGACAGCTGTGTCTAACGAATATATCGAAACAAGACTACAAGATCGCGCCAATTATCCTACACTCATCTCCATTCATACTTGGCTTAAAAATACGTATTACGCCAAACTACATTTTTTTTACGAACTTCCTACGCAAGGATTTAGTCCAGAAAACAGCTGTTTGTCGCCAGCTTATTCAAATGGGGTTTCATTGCGTACTACTGTGCTGTAATGAGTTTTGCCGGACACCAATCAGCTGATTATACTATATTTAGGTGGCAATGAATGGTTATAAACAAAAACATAACCTCTCTTAGACGTTATGACTAGTGATTTTTAGTCCTTTAGTTGGTGAAAATATATTAGGATTTGTACAGATTTAGTAGTAGGCTATGGCGTAAACTATCGTAAACTATGTACGTAACTCGTCCAAAATGTGTGTACCGGACTCGTATGGTAATCCCGTACTCGACTTCGTCTCGCACGGGAACGACCACACTCGTCCGGTAAACACTTATTTTCAGGACTAGTAACGTAATATACTATTTTCGTATGGTCGCCATTTAAAAGAAAGGCATTAAAAAGTATTACAAGATTACGTGATATGACTCCTAAAACAGTGTGATTCACTCTACAAGCAAAATTTCGATTTCCAAATTGGATTAACAACCATCTCTTAGTTCAATGCATAAACTGTATCATTTTTTTCTCAAACTTGACGTCTCCTTCCTGAACCACTATTTATCAGTTTCTACTGACACTCAGGAACCTAACAAGATTAAAGACTTTATACAACATTAACACCAACATAACTCATAGTGATGATGACGTCACTATGTCAGTGTATTGGTGTAATGACAAGACAGTCTCATCCAATATAAACTATGACATTGATTGACACTTCACTCTCCCTGTAACTGTGTGGACCTCAGGGATACACACACACACGCACACACACACACACACTACCTACGCGGGAGTCCAGCCATACTTTATTGAACTTATTATCGTGATAGTTGTAACAACAATCACTCAAATATACGGCCTAAAAGAAAATTTCAATAAATTCGTTTTAAATTTGTTTTGTAAAATTTTTGGGTTTACTCTAATCTTTTTGGGGTGCAAATCACTTTCTTCTACTACTGATACATTTGTAGAGCTTTTAATTAGTAATTTGATGGCAGTTAGTCTGTTTTATATTTTCTATATTGTATTTTACTTTACAATAAGTGTATTTAATTGCAAGATGATTACTTTTGAACAGCATAGAAATTAATAATGAGACTAATCATCAGTATGAGTACTCAATTATTGGTTCCTAATCCAATGATTGGTTCGCAAACAGCGGAATGATTAGTACACATATTATGACCTAATCTGCTGGGCATTACTCATGTTGGGAAGTGGCAAGGCAGCCTTAGCAAGGGTAGAATACGGCATATACTGAGGGCACACTGAAGTTGGATCGGTTTAATAATTTACCTTGTTAAAATCTTGTACGCAAAACATTGCACACTATTTTGTCCAAGATTCTAAAGAATTGTTTTCCAAATTACTTTAGGCTAGGCCTAGGGGGGTTGCAGTACTATCACTTTACAAAAATCCATTGGTGATTAGCGGTATTCGAACCCGGGACCTTAGCGACCGAAGTCCCGCGCTCTACCGTTGCCCCTTACCAGCTTACCAGCTTACCAGCTTGCTTCCCTTTTTTACACTAAGTATGGATGGTTACAATATTAATGGTGGAGAAAGGGTGGAATTAAAATTGGTGCAACTATCGTTTACAAGCTAGCAAAAATTGTGCATACCTGCTCTACTTTCGTACAGTTTTCAAAAGTACAGCAAGCCGTAAAGAATGTACAGAAAAACATCAATTTATTATTTTCAAGTATGTGTGTGTGTGTGTGTAAACAAACTACAAAAACTACTCACAACATATCAGTACTGTATGACCGAGTAAATATATAAACAAAATGTTTGCAAGGAATGTGCGAACAGGTCGGGTAAAGAAGATATTGAGTGTTTCCAAAAATAACAAGAGTCCAGAACCAGTGTAAAACACAAACAGGCTGTCAGAGTCGGTTTGTTCAGTTGCTGCATAGTTTACTGGTGAACTTCTGCGCCATTAGCCTTGCTCAGCTGTGAGCCGGTCACTGGCTTGCTGGCTTTGCTTTGCATTGGACTGGACGAATTCTTTGAACATCATTTACCCAATCACAAGTTTACAGTTGAATCATCATTCTTCTTTTATGCAGTAGAGTGATATACACATGAAACATACTTCTTGGGCAAGACTCCCCCTTCCTTATAAAGGCACCATGGTACTGGAATAGTCGATAATTTAACTTACATTAGTTATCTAATGGGTAATAGGTAACATTATTGTTACCTGTGTAAAAAACGAGTTCATTGTTTGTCAAACATTCAAATTGGTTTACAGTTATCAATTTGTTAATTTCCCATTATTCTCGCAATAAGAACGTGTCCCACAAGCAGATCGACCTTGAACCTGGTAGGTGTGACATCTGAAATCCTTTGTAAACCAGACCCCTTGGTAGTGAGGGGAGGGGGAGCGGAAACTGTGGGTATAAGGGAGTGTTTAGGTTGT